AGAATCCAGAGTGGTGCAATGTAAGGATCTGACGTGCCACTGCTGGCTTTGAAAATGGAGGAAGGGTCACAAATTAGAGCACGGATGGCCTGGAGAAGCTGGAGGTGGGAAAAAAACAGATTCTCCCCAACAGCCTCCAGAAACACAGCCCTGCCAACTCCTTGATTTTAGTCCAGTGAAGCCCAGTTCTGACTTCTGGCCTACAAAACTCTTAAGAAATAAATGTGTTGCTTTAAGCCACTGATTGTGGTAATTTGTTATGAAAGCAATAGAAAACTAAAACGAGGGTCAATATCAGGGTAAAGTGCAGGGACAAATTCATGTGAAGGTCAGAGTTAGGGGCAGAATCAGGCCAAGGTCAGGTTCAGGTCAGGGTCTTGAGTCAGGGTCCAGGTGAGTCCCAGCACCTGAATGATAACCAGTTTCAGAATTGCTGAATGTTAGAATCAGGGTCAAGGGTAGGGTCAAACCAGAGTGAGGGACAGGGTCTCCATGAGGGTGTCAGGGTGAAGATCAGGAACATGTCTATAGGTGAAGGTTGAGTTTCACGGTCAGAATCTGGCATAGGAATGAGTCAAATTTAAATGACTCGGGATATGAGTCTGGGTGAGGATCGTAGTCAGAGTAAAATTGAGCATCAGTGCTAGAGTTAGGATGCCATCAGGCTCATGGTAAGGTTCAGGGTCTTTTAGGTTGAAGTTCTGAGTCAGGGTCTTGACCAGGGTCAGGTTCAGAGTGAAGTTCAGTGTGAGCACACGTGATTCAGTCAAGGTTAGGGTCAGTAAGAGACATGACTGGGAAAGGTCCACGTGAGTGAGGTGAAGGTCAGGGTTAGGGAGAATCAGGATCAGGGTGATGAGTCAATATCAAGGTAAAGATCAGATCAGGTTCAGGGTTAGTGTGAGTTAGAGCCACTGTCAAGTTCAAGGTCAGGATTAGGGATTGTCAGGTCGAGGCTTGGAGAGGTGTCAGTATCCTTGTCAAAGTGAGGACTGAGACCAGTGTCAGTGAAGCTGTGAGGCTCAGCAATCCTTTNAGAATCAGGATCAGGGTGATGAGTCAATATCAAGGTAAAGATCAGATCAGGTTCAGGGTTACTGTGAGTTAGAGCCACTGTCAAGTTCAAGGTCAGGATTAGGGATTGTCAGGTCGAGGCTTGGAGAGAGGTGTCAGTGTCCTTGTCAAAGTGAGGACTGAGACCAGTGTCAGTGAAGCTGTGAGGCTCAGCAATCCTTTCCCCACTTCCTAGCACCATGGGCTGGTTTTTGTGGATGGAACTGTCTGAAAAGCTTTTCCCCATTTACCTGCATGTCTACCTCCATCACCTGCTTGAAGTCTTTAATGCTGCCTCATCTCCCGTCCCCGTCCACTACGATATAGTGGCAAAGGCAGTGGTTTTGGAATGGAATGTCTTCCTCATTCACGGGCTCGAAGCACTTAGAAGAGTGCCTGGCACAGAACAGGTGTTCAGTAAAAGTTTAATAAATGATGAGGATGCACTAACGTATTTCTAGAATAAAGTACAACTGAAGTAAAATTTAACAAACCAGGGC